GTAGAAAGACCATACAATTACGGAATTATTACAGGTGGGATAAGTAGCTTGGTTAGACCGGAAACTCATGCCTCAAACGTTTTTGACCAAACTCATGTCTTAGTCACATTTATACGTCAATAATTAAGACCCCGACCAAAATCCAGTCCGTAAGGTGTTAATGTAAGATGTTTATTAGTGTAATTTAATTAGCATAATGATCACATTAAAATGTTCCAGTATACAAATTGTTGAAGTCTAAAATCACAAAGAATATAAACTTAGGTGCATGAACAAAGTTATAAAAATATTTTAAAACAAAGTTCAGTGTTGGGCCAAAGGAGGGGGGAGAGAGAGAGAGAGAGAGAGAGAGAGAGAGAGAGAGAGAGAGAGAGGGATAGATATTACATGTAAGAAAAGTCACATTTCAACAGAGCGACCCTGACCAGTCTGGTCACCTCAGCAGTGAAATTCTGGGCCCCTCAGGTGTGACCACCAGGGCAACACAACATTTCATTACAGGACTGGCTAGTTCACAGAAAGCTGTATGTAAAACATCAAATTTATTTCTTTCAAAATGAAACATCCAAGTGAAACAGAGTGAGCTAACAATAGATACCAAATTTTAGCTAGTTGTTAGTAGAAATTTTCAATTTTATAAATTTAAAAAAATGCTTAAAAAATAAATTTCAAACAAAAACATAATAAAATGGAAATAAAAGTGGAATAAATCAATGTCAATAATGAAGCCGAGTGTGTGCCTTTGACCACTGCCACAGGAGTCGTGCCCAAGACTCTCCACCCACCTGTCGCTTACATAAAGAGACTAGTTAAAAGAGACAGAAAGATGTCAAACATGGTTTTAAAAAGCTAGCACTACCACTTATATGTCCCCTGACCAAAACAAACAAACAAAAAATACAAGAAAAAAATATTAAGCAGCCACACACCACAGGGAAAGGGCTACGTTTTATTCGTTGGATGGTGTGGTCTCCCCTTGGGAACAGGCTCCACACTCGGTCGCCTGCCGAGAGAGTCAGGCGAAGCCTTCCCTTTGCCGTGCGCTTCCGTCCTGTGTCTTCTCTGCAGAACCCATGGAAGGAATTCTTGACAGAGAAACCAACCACGTGACCAGGTCCTTGTGGCCAGAGGAGGGAATGCTTCCTAAATCCCAGAAGTCATTGCGACTACTCAGTTTAAACTTTCGTGATATTTTTATTTTACCAGCCCAAAGGCAGTTCTGTATTAGAGGATCTAAACAATGTATTCAATCCATCTCACACTCTTCCTCAGAAGACAATGCCAATTTATTTTAATCTGAAATAATCAGTAGCTTGGCAATTAGAAAACCTGCAAAGTCAGTAAGAGGATAGAAAATTTAAGAGTATTTTACATTCCAGATCTTTTTATTTTAAGCCTTTATTTTTTATTTTATTTTATTTATTTATTTTTAGAGAGGGGAGAAGAGAAGGAGAAAGAGGAGGAGAAATCTATCAATGTGTGGTCGAGTCTTGTGTGCCCCCCACTGGGGACCTAGCCCACAGCCCAGGCATGTGCCCTGACTGGGAAATGAACTGGCGACCCTCAGGTTCGCAGCCCGCGCTCAATCCACTGAGCCATACCATGCAGGGCCACATTCCAGATCTTAAACCAGAACTCCTCTAAGATTTCAAAACATGGCTCATGTTTTATATTCTCTTTCCAAAAATCCAATCACAGCTTATCATTTGAAAAGCTCTACAGTATTCCAAATGGTTCCAGATTTTTTAGCTATTAGTTTGGAAAAATGAGAAACGAAAATAAGGAAGTCCCGTTAGACAACACGCACAACGTGAGGGTGCAGATGCTAACGTCCGTGGGGAAGGACCTGGCACGGGGGCTCCGGAGGGGCCCCGCATCGAGACACCTTCAGGGGTCAAAGGGAGACTAACCCTGATCGGGGACTGAGTCCAACCAGGACTCAATAGAAACCCAATCAACTGCCCTTCAAGGTGTTGCCATTTGGTTTCACCTCCTGTTGTTACAGGAAAAGTTATTTTCCATTTGTATCAGCATCCCAGTATTCTAATGTTACTGGATTCCACTACCTTTAACTTTCCCATTCTTATGTGGATAGTTCATGATCATGTTAAGAAACTTTGGTTATAAAATTCCACGAACAATAATAAGGTTGTTAAATTTTCAGGCAAATCTAAGCCTAGACAAAGAGATGATTTCATAATAGAAACAATTTTGGCCCAACTTGCAACTAACGAAGGATGATTTAACTTGAGGAAATACTTTTCAAAGTTTCATCAGAACTCCTCTAAATCAGAAAAGTTGGAATGAAAATAGCGACCACTGCTCAGATTTTAGTAAGGTGCAGAACAACAGAGGCAGTCTAGGAGAGCACCCTTCCCTAGCAGCAAGCTCGCAGAGGGGGCGGGGAGGGAGAGCGGGGAGGCTCGCACAGCCCTGGCGGACTCTGGCCCTTGACGGGGGCACACGTTCTCATCGGGGTTACCATGGCCTGGGTCGTGTGGGAGATCTGAAAACCCAATGAAAAACGCCAACTAAAAATGTTTAAGGAAAAGAAAAACGTGAGCTCGAATTAAATGATAAAATGAGTTTGAAAAGAGAACGAGAAATAAAAAAAACATCAGATGACCTTTACAAAAACACTGAAATGGAAACGACTCCGTCTTGTACTTTGTGTCCACAAACGGGAGGAGGTTCCAGCGGGCCCTGCAGAGTACAAGAGGAAGCAGGCGGTCTGCCCAGGCATCAGCAGAGAGAGGCCCCGGAGAACTACCCTCAGCTTCTTCTACATCGTGTCCAGGGAGGAAAAGCAAAGCTCTGCAAAATGCTGAAGGTTTTAGAAGTGTAACGGTGCTTAGGAAAGATCACTGGTCTGGTGTTGCCGCAGCCCCAGTGCTGAGAGACACTCTAGGCTTCTAGGAGGAGAAAAGTAGAGAGGGAGGAAAAGCAGGAAGGGGGAGGAAGGGGCGGAAAAGCACAGGTCGTTAGTAAACAGCAAGTTCAACACAGCAAGGTGCTCACAAACCCTCTATAAGCTATCGGTGGGGCTGAGCTGCTCTTAGGACTAGAGGTAACACTCTGAAGGAACCAGAAGTGGGAATTTTCAAAGTGGCACCAGTTAGTAACGGCCGAATTAGAATGAAGTCGCCACATGCTCCCAATACATGCACTCTTCACTCCCTCCCTACTCCTTCCCACCGCCAAAGAAACATGCACATCTTCAGCAAAGCATCTGCTTTACTACAGTCAAGTTCAGAACACAAACACCTTCCCAGCGCACCAGCTGGACTCCACCCACACATGGAGAGGTAAGGTGTCCGCGAGCGGGAAGACCTGCTCTTACAATCTCACTGGGAAGTTCATAACCAGCAGCGTTCTTTTTTGCACCCAGGAAACTAAAAGTCTTAGAACCGTGAGGGCTGGACTGGATGTTTTTCTGCTCTTTTCCCTGCCCTGCTAAGACTTGGCAGTGGGAGGAAACTGCTACACAGGGTTCGAGCCTTTTCTGGTCATGCTTGACATCCCGCTGGAGAAGAAACCTACTCCAGTTTTGATAGTTGTTTCCTTCCTGGGTGAAAATGGCATCCACTCTTTTGCCAGCTAATCAAATCAGTCCCCTCACCGCCTCTGCTTCCCCTGGCACTGTCTCCTGCTTAGAGAAAGCTGCACTTATTCATTTTTTAAAGTTCATGTTCCAGCTTCTTCTCCTTTAATCACAGGGATATTTCCACACATGTTTTCTTAAAACCAAATTACATAGACGACTTTGCTTTCAAAGCAGGCATAGAACACCAAATATAACTATAATTATCCAAGAAATAGAAAAATGTCATTTCACAAAACTGGAAGCTATAATGGCATTTCTGGTTGTTTCTTGCCTTTAAGTGTTCCTAATTCATGAGTTGCTAACAAGGATGTGAATCTCACTAAGTAAAACTAACAGTCACAACAAATAGAACCTAGTCACCAATAAATCTGAAGGTAAAAAGATACATGCAACATTTCTAAAGGTCACAGAACACACACTAAGCCCTGGGACAATCGCTACCGCTAACGAAGGCTTTTTGGAAGGCGGGATAACTGAGAGACCCTGCGGCGGCGGCAGGGAAGGCTTCTCCAGGCTGAGCGAGGTGTGCGCCCCAGGACAGAAACACACGCGGCCTGTGCCCGCGTGCGCCCCCGCGGCAACGGGAATGCAATGCCAGGCCCCAGTTAAGAAGAGCACACCGTGCAGCAGAGGGCAGCGTGCGTAATCCTTAGAGACCTATCATTTGGGTCAACAGTGTCAGCCTGATCACAGCTGCAAATTAAGTGCAGTTATTTATAAAAACTCAACACGACTTCCTATCGGCCACCTAAGAACAGGCTGACATAGCACACAGCGGCACCTGCTACTGCTTCGAGAATTCCGCTTACTGCAAACACACTGGGGGCAGGGGTAGGCGCTAATTATGAGGTGGGAAGCACAGAGCTCAGTGCTAGCTGACGGAATATCGAAGCCCTAGTAATAGGGGAGGCATTAAAGTCAGAGACAGATTTCAAAAGTAACAGTTAATGGGGAAATAAAGGAAAAACAGGCTGAGGGCAAAAGAGAAAAGAACAGAACTTTTAATCTGCAGCTCGCGGGTTTCTTACCACTGAGCCACAGAAAAGACACTGAGATCAGTGTGCATTCGGGGAAGGAGCCTGCCAGAGGCCTCCAGTGCAAAACACCCTGATGGCCATTCTGCCTCTGTACGCGTATTTTCAAGGTTAATCCAGCTCTCGTGGCCCAACTACAACAAATATTCTAAGAACAACAAAGGAGGTTCACTCTTTCTACTGTTCGAGATGTTATGTGGCAGATGCCCTGGGTTTAAACACACCTAACAGGAACAGTGATATCCTTAGAAACAGAAATAATCCATATGTTTCCATGAACAATTCCTCCAAGGAGCTTACCCAGGTGTTTACTCTCTGACTGTTTCCCCCCACACATTCGGGGAGTCCTGGGGCCCACTTACCTGTAGTGTCATTCCCTTCTATTCCGTGGTCCCCATTGGCTAGCACTGCTGCTTTAGGAGATGGAGTACCTGCAACCACCACAGAGAAGAATCACCCATTGTGATGGACAAAACAGTGAAGAACAGACCCAACTCCTGTCTAGTAGCATTTGTGTCACACCATTAGCATAAAGCAGAGAAACATTAGCCCAACATTAGCACTGGCTGGTGGGGCTCAGTGGACTGAGCGCTGGCCTGCAAACCAAACGGTCACAGGTTTGATTCCCAGTCAGGGCACACGCCTGGGTTGCGGGCCAGGTGCCCAGCAGGAAGCGTGTGAGCAGCATCCGACTGATGTTCCCCTCTTTCTACGCCCCCACCCCCTCTCTCTGAAAATAAATAAAATCTAAAAATATATATTAATCCAACATTAAAAGAGCCAATAAAAGGACACCCAGAAACAGAACAGGACTGAGTCATTCATTTCTCTAGCCTCCACACTCTGTTAAGCACCCCCAGTACAGGAGAGACCTTCCTAGCAGCAAGCGAGGTCTCTTCTGTTCTGTAAATTGTCAAAGATCAGCATCACAGTCACTAAAACCATCACGAAGCACCACTCATTCACTCTCTGTGATTCCAACCATCGGCTCCAAGGACACGGGCCATTGAAAACAACCCCCACGTGACCAGTCCAGGGCACTATCCCCGCTCCTGGACCTGAGGGTTACGTGGAGGTCAGCAGGACTTCTGGAAGCAGAGGGCTTTTTTTTTTTTTTTTTAGCTACTCTAATAAAGCACAGTTATGTCTCATTCCCGAATAAATAAGGGTGTCAAATATCTTTCCATGTATTTACTCGCCACTTTTTCAATTTTTTTGGTAAACTGAGTGGTCGAATTTTTTTTACTATTTATTTAAACATTTTATTTATTTATTTTCAGAGAGAGGGGAAGGCAGGGAGAAAGAGAGGGACAGAAACATCGATGTGAGAGAGAAACACAGATCAGCTACCTCTCACACACGCCCCGACCAGAAACCAAACTGACAAGCCAGGCCTGTCCCCTGACTGGGAATCGAACCGGCGACTTTTTGCTTCGTGGGATGACACCCAACCAACTGAGCCACACCAGCCAGGGCTTGAGTATTTTTTAACTGGATTATTTCTTATTGAGTTTTGAGTATGCAGTACATATTCTGAACACCAACTCTTCATCAAATGAGCTTTGCACATAATTTCTCCTGGTCTATAACTTGTATTTTCATTTCCTTAACTGTGCCTTTGGAAGAACAAAAGTTCTAAGTCTTAATAAAGTCAAAGTTATCTTTCATCTTTCTGGTGGGGTATCTAAGAAAACTTCACCTAGGCCAAGGTCACAGGATTTTCTCCTAGACGTTGTATAGTTTCCAAGCTGAGGCCCAAGCCACAGTTGGAGTTAATTCTGTGTACGTTGTAAGACCTGGGTCTAGGCTCCTACTTTCGCACATGGGCATCTATTTGTTCCTACATCATTTGTTCAAAAGGCTGTCCTTATTCCGCTGAATTAACTTGGCACCTTCCGTGAAAATCAAACGACCCTATTACATGTTGATACATGTCCGGACCCTCCTCTTCCCCTGACCACTAACGAAAAGTCTACCCACTTTGCCAGTACCACACACTATCTTGATTACTGTATTTGTGTAAAGTCTTGAAATGAGGTCATATGAATCCTGCAAATTGGGTCTTTCCCAAAATTGTTTTGATTGTTCTTATTACTTTGTTTTTCCACATAAATTTTAGAATCAGTTGTTGATTTATACAAAAATCCTGATGGAATGTTGACTGCAATTACATTGATTATATATATCAATTTGAGGAGGTAAAACCTTTGTTTTAAAAGATTCTATTTATTTATTTTTAGAGAGAGGGGAAGGGAAGGAGAAAGAGAGGGAGAGAAAATCAATGCGTGGTTGCCATTCACACACCCCCCACTGGGGACCTGGCTTGCAACCCAGGCATGTGCCCTGACTAGGAATCAAACCAGTGACCCTTTGGTGCACAGGCCTGCACTCAATCCACCGAGCTACACCAGCCAGGGTACAACCTTTTTTGAAAGGTTCTGAATATATCTAACATTTCAGCCACGTGCATAGCTCTAAAATTAGCCTGCTAACCCAAGAGTTCTCTATGAATCACTCTAAAAAACCTCAGAGATATTTTTCATAAAACAAGTGAAAATCTAGAAAGTATACTATGCTACAAAATTATAAAATGCAAGATTTTACTTTGGAAGACAAGAAACCACACTAATGAACTACACTGACTTTCTGGCTCCCACAAATCCATGGCAGAAATCTTTCCCATAAACTCACTGAAAAGCTCATTCATTCCACTATCTCAGATGACCAAGGAACAATGAAAGAGAACAACCGAAAAGAACAAGGCAGACTTCTGGCCAAGATGGAGACGTAGGCAGATACACTTTGCCTCCTCGGGCAACCAAAAGAAGGACAACAAATTTAAAAACAAAAAATAACCAGAACTGCCAGAAAATCGAACTGTATGGAAGTCCCACAACGAAGGAGTGAAAGAGAAACATTCATCCAGACCAGTAGGCGGGGCAGGGATGGGCAACTGGGGCGGAGAGGACTCCAGGCGAGGCAGCACTGGCAGGGCGGGCAGTCCCACATTTGCTTGCGGCTAAACAAGGAACAACTGGGGAGCGAGACAGACTGCACAACCCAGAGTTCCAGCACAGGGAAATAAAGCCTCAAAACCTCTGACTGTACAATTCAGTGGGAGTTACAGCAGTGGGAGAAACTCCCAGCCTCACAGGAGAGTTCGCCGGAGAGACCCACAGGGTCCTAGAACGTATGCAAGAGCCCAGCCACCCAGAGGGAATCAGCACCAGGAGGGCCCCGTTTGCTCGTGGGTAGCAGGGGAAGTGACCGAAGGCCAGCCAAGAGCTGAGCAAGCAGCACTGTTCCCTCTAGGACCCCTCCCCCACATGCTGTGCCATAACACAGCAATGTCAGTTGCACCTGCCCTGGTGAATACCTAAGGCTCCGCCCCTTACTAGGTAACAGGTCCACTGAGACAAAAAAATATGGCCCAGATGAAAGAACAGATCAAAGCTGCAAAAACAGAACTAAGGGGTGAAGAGATAGCCAACCTACTGGATGCAGAGTTCAAAACACTGGTACTCAGGATGCTCACAGAAATGGTTGAATACGGTCACAAAATAAAGGAAGAAGACTATGCAAAATGAAATTTTAAAAAATATACAGGGAACCCACAGTAAAAGGAAGGAAACTGGAACTCAAATCAATGATTTGGAGCAGAAAGAAGAAATAAACATTTAACCAGAATAGAATGAAGAAACAAGAATTCAAAATAAATGAAGAGAAGCTTAGGAACCTCCAGGACAATTTTAAATATTCAAACATCTGAATCATAGGGGTGCCAGAAGGAGAAGAGGAAGGGCAAAAAATTGAAAACTTATTTGAAAAAATAATGAAGAACTTCCCCATTCTGGCAAAGGAAAAAGACTTCCAGGAAGTCCAGGAAGCTCAGAAAGTTCCAAAGAACCTGGACCCAAGGAAGCACACACCAAGGCACATCATAATTACTTACCCAAGATTAAAGAGAAGGAGAGAATATTAAAAGCAGCAAAAGGAGACCGTTACCTACAAAGAAGTTCCCATCAGACCATCAGCTGATTTCTCAAAAGAAACCTTGAGAGTAAGAAGGGCCTGGAAAGAAATATTCCAAGTCATGAAAGGCAAGGACCAAAATGACTCTGTCCAGCACAGCTTTCATTTAGTATGGAAGGGCAGATAAAGTGCTTCCCAGATAAGGTCAAGTGAAAGGAGTTAGTCATCACCAAGCCTGTATTATTATATGAAATGTTAAAGGGACTTATCTAAGAAAAAGAAGATGATCAAAAATATGAACAAACTCACAATTATCAACAAGTGAACCTAAAAAACCAAAACAAATTAAGCAAACAACTACAACAGGAACACAATCACAGAAATGGAGATCACACAGAAGGTTATCAGTGGGCAGGGAGGAGGAGAGTGAGGAAAAAGGTACAGGGAATAAGAAGCATACATGGTAGGTAGAAAATAGACAGGGGGAGGTTAAGAATAGTATAGGAAATGGAGAAGCCAAAGAACTTGTATGTGCGACCCACAGACACGAACTAAGGGGGGGATGCTGGTGGGAGGGTAGGAGCAGGGTGGAGGGAAAAAAAGGGGAGAAAAAAATGGGGCAACTATAATAGCATAGATAATGAAATATATTTTTAAAAAGCATAAAAAAACAAGGCAGACCAAAGAGAATATCACTTAACAGGAAGAATAAGCAGGAAATAAAGGGATGAAGTAGAACAAGCTTATTAAATGCCCGCCATGCACCGGGCACCATGCTAGGGCTTCATATACTGTGTTTTACTTCCCCAGAGAGATGTCAAGTATGTTCTATCCCATACTTAGGCCCTTTTATCCCATATTTATCCCATATAAATTCCCTTTTATCCTCACACAGCTTATAAAATTTATCCTTTCTAGATCAAAAAAGTGTGTATTTTTGAAAATCTGCCTCATTTAAAAATACAGATTGCAAAAAAAAAAAATGCAGATTACAGGAAAATGCAAATTACAAAAAATGATACCATCTTTTGGCCATGAGAGTGACAAAATGTTTTTAAAATTTGATAATAGCCAGTGTTGGCAAAACTATGGGAAAATAGGCAATCTCATAAAACATTAGGGAATATAAATCAGAACAAACTTTTTATGAGACATTTGGCAATCCATCAAATTTTGAAACACCTGTTTAACTCAACAATTCATTTTAGGTATTCACAAAAAGACAAAGAAGTACATGAAAATGAATGTAAATAGGATGTTTATTATCGCATTGTTTGAAAAGTAACAAAGGCCCATGAATAGATTCATTACACTGTGAAATAATATGCAACTATTAAGGAACTGGGGTAGCTCTTCATGTATTGATTTGGAAAACTGCCAGAACACATTAAGAAAACAATAAAAGCAAATTATGCATAATAGCATTATTAAAAAGACACAAAAATACCCTGAAAATATG